CCGCGGTGGCCCAGGGCTCCTCCGCGCCGCTGTCGCCTCGGACGCCGCCCCCGGCCGCTGCGGGCTGCGAGGTGCCCTTCCCCGAGAGGGGCGGGCGGCGGGAAGTTGTCAGTCACGCGCAGGGGCTGCCCCTGTGCCAGACGTCACCAGGGCTCCGTGTCCAGGGCTCCTTGGACACCAACGTGCCCGGTACGGACACGGCGCCAGCCAGAGGCCCCCCGCCCCCAGGTCGGGCAGAGTCCAGAGGCCCAGGCCCTCGGGGCAGCAGGTCCCCGCGGCGCAGCCCGGCGCGCCGCCCTGGTCTTCCTGCTGCCTGACCCGGCGAGACGCGGCAGGACTGAATGTGACCTCCAGACGGAGGCTCGCGGGAGCGCGGGCGGGGGAGCGTGGCAGCGGCCCAGGTTCAGAAGGGGCGGGCCAACTTGGCACGGGCTCCCCCTCCCTCTCTCCCCCTCCGTGGTGGTGGCGGCGTCAGCAGCGGCAAGAACAGATGAGGGATCCAGAAAAACAGCTTCTCCACCCCCGGCAGCCGGGGAGCAAACAGCTTCCTCCGCCGCTGCCCCCGCTCGCCAGCTCCTGAGCCCCCCCGCCTGGCCGGGCTGCCGGGGCCTGGACCCTCCCAGAGGGACCCCGTGGGGCAGCGCAGGGTTGAGGAGACTCTGAGTGGGGCTGAGACCCCAGCCCGACGGGTGGGGAGGAGCTTGGGGGCCGGGGGCTCCTCGTGCTCAGCGCGGGCCGAGTCGCTCCCCCCCCCCCCAGCCGATCCCCAGACACACTGCGGCCCCCAGACACACTGCGGCTCCCGCGAGGTTGAAAGTTAACTGAGCTGAACCTTGGAGCCCGGATCCAGGTCATGACCGAGTTCCTGCCTCTGGGGTCACTGACCTGCTTTTCCCTCTAACCCTCAGCCTCGCCACCCGGCCCATGAGAACTGGCGAGCAAAGGCAAGCAAAGCCATCCCCGGGGCCTCCCTGTGCCCCAGACCTCGTCCTGGGCCAGAGGTCAGGCGGGCGGCCGCCCTCCACCGTGTCGGGGACCCGGGTCTGCCTGCCCGAGTCCCACCGTCCCTTCTCCACAGCGAAGGTCGGAGTGAGCCTTCAAGGACGCCCCCAAGTCCCCTCAAGTCACGCTTCTGCTGACATCCTCGCTGTGGACGCCCCCCCCCCCGAAGCCCTTGGAATAAAAGCCAGAGGCCTCAGAGTGGCCCACAGGACCTAAGAAGCCAGCCCCTCCCCAGCTCAATCCTGCATCTTACTCTGAGTCTTTGAGTGTGCCTCGGGGCATTTGCACAAGCTGTTCCTGCCACCTCCTGGGCTTTCCCACAGATGTGCCTCTGTCCTCCTTCCAGACACCTCCTCCAAGGAGCCTTCCTGGACCACCCGTCCCACCAGGTCCCCAAGTCAGCTCGCCACCCAGCTCTCTATCTCCACAGCTCATACTGCCAACACCAGCTTCTCAGTTCCCCTGCTCTTGCCTAGGAAGGCCCCCACCCGCGGGCACACAGGAGGCACTGACCAACGATCAGGCTCCAGATGCCCCAGGCGTCTGGATCTGGACCCACTGGGCAACCGGGCATCCTGGCATCCCTGGTCGGGTGATCGAGAGGGAAGTGGGGCTGGTTCCGCCCCTCAGGGGGTCCCAGGCCTGCCCGGAAGAGGCTGGAGGGCCCCAGTGCCCTGGCGCGGGCCCCACACACCGGCCAGTCCAGACAGCGGAGCCCGCCAGCCTTCCCTGCGGTCTGGCACCCCGGCCCCACCTTGAATTTCTAAGGAAGCAGTTTCGTTCTGAAGAGCCGGGAGGCCGGAACAGGAAGTGAGACTGACCAGGACAGGAAGCCCGGCCAGGAGGTCTGAGTCACAGACTCGGTGCAGGACCCAACCTGGAGCTCGTGGCCGCGGGGTGGGGGTTGGGGCTGGGCCACTAGCAGCTCCCACCGTCCGGGCCGAGCTGGCTCACGGGGTCCAGGACTCAGCCCCAGGGACGCAGGTGCCCCGGCCCCCACGGGGCCGCGTTCCACCCCAAATCCTCCTCGCAGCCCTGAGGGTCCCAGATCCGCGCCAGCCGCCATGGCACTCACCCCGCCCCCCCGTGCCTGGGGGTGTCGTAGCCACTGCCCCGGGAAGCTGCCCGGCCCCCCGAACAGCAGGCACACCCTGCCCTCTGGCCAGCTGCGCCCAGCCTGGCAGTGCCCGGCCCCCTTC